CGCCGCCAGCGTGCGCGCGCCCGCGGGACAGGCGGGGACTGACGGGAAGCGAATTGGGCGCTGCGCGCCCTCCCGCGCGCACCAATCAGATCGCCGGTCACGTTGGCGCGGCGGGACCGAAGGTGCGTGGGCGCGACGGGCTACTCCGCCGGCCCCTGGAAGTGCGCGTGCCTGCCCCGCCCCGCCCCGGAAGTCCCGCGGTGTTCGCCCGTCTCCGCCTCCCCCGCGGTCCGGGCGCAGGCTGAGGAGGTTCCTCTCAGCTGACCCGCAGGGCGGGGCTGGGTGGGTGTCCTCTGGCGTCCTGCGCTTTCTTTGTTTGTCTGTGGGTCTTTCTTTCTATTTTTCTGTCTTTATTTCTTTCCTTTCTTTCTTCCTTCCTTTTCTTTTCTTTTTTCTTTCATGAATTTATTGGAAAACAAAGAGCGAGGACCCTGCCCCGGACAGTCTCAGGGACGCCGCTAGCGTCACGGCAGGACAGGAGTACAGGGCAGAGCTGTCAGGTGACAGTCAGCGTTTCTCAGCGTCTCCTCCGCTACGAGACCCAGTCCCCAGAAGTCGTCTGCTTCACTCTTTGTGTTCAGTGCCCGTGAATGTCACCTCCCCGATGCTCATTGAAACGCCCGCACCTCCACGTCCGATTATCAGCCTGTACGTTTTGAAAGATGAAGAAATGCATTCCCTTAACGCTACCTTGTACATCTGTGGACTTTCGGGAGTTTTGCTTCTGAGGTTACTACATTCTTTTCAATTTTCCTCCACGTCCGATTATCAGCCTGTACGTTTTGAAAGATGAAGAAATGCATTCCCTTAACGCCACCTTGTACATCTGTGGACTTTCGGGAGTTTTGCTTCTGAGGTTACTACATTCTTTTCAATTTTTTTTATCGTGATAAAGTACAAAATTTGCCATCTTAACCATTTTTAAAGTGTACAGTTCGGTAGTATTAAGTACATTCATAATGTCGTGTGACAGTTACCAGCATCTGTCCCGGTAACTCCTTTCATTTTGTACGACTGAGACTCTCTACCCTTTAAACTAACGCGCCAGTTCCCTCTGTCCCTGCTCCCTGGCACCCACCATTCTATTTTCTGTCCCGATGGGTGGAATCATACAGTATTTGTTTTTTTGTGCCTGGCATTTTGCTTAGCACAATGTCCTCAAGGTTCATCCATGCTATACCATGTGTCAGAATTTCCTTTTTAAGGCTGAATAGTATTTCATTTTATGGATAGACCACATATTGCCTATTCATTCATCTGTCA